TAAACTCAAAATGGATCAAAGACCTGAATGTAAGTCACGAAACCATTAAACTCTTGGAAAAAAACATAGGCAAAAACCTCTTAGACATAAACATGAGTGATCTCTTCTTGAACATATCTCCCCGGGCAAGGAAAACAACAGCAAAAATGAGCAAGTGGGACTACATTAAGCTGAAAAGCTTCTGTACAGCGAAAGACACCATCAATAGAACAAAAAGGAACCCTACAGTATGGGAGAATATATTTGAAAATGACAGATCTGATAAAGGCTTGACGTCCAGAATATATAAAGAGCTCACACGCCTCAACAAACAAAAAACAAATAACCCAATTAAAAAATGGGCAGAGGAACTGAACAGACAGTTCTCCAAAAAAGAAATACAGATGGCCAAGAGACACATGAAAAGATGCTCCACATCGCTAATTATCAGAGAAATGCAAATTAAAACTACAATGAGGTATCACCTCACACCAGTAAGGATAGCTGCCATCCAAAAGACAAACAACAACAAATGTTGGCGAGGCTGTGGAGAAAGGGGAACCCTCCTACACTGCTGGTGGGAATGTAAATTAGTTCAACCATTGTGGAAAGCAGTATGGAGGTGCATCAAAATGCTCAAAACAGACCTACCATTTGACCCAGGAATTCCACTCCTAGGAATTTACCCTAAGAACGCAGCAATCAAGTTTGAGAAAGACAGATGCACTCCTATGTTTATCGCAGCACTATTTACAATAGCCAAGAATTGGAAGCAACCTAAATGTCCATCTGTAGATGAATGGATAAAGAAGATGTGGTACATATACACAATGGAATACTACTCAGCCATAAGAAGTGGAAAAATCCAACCATTTGCAGCAACATGGATGGAGCTGGAGAGTATTATGCTCAGTGAAATAAGCCAAGCGGAGAAAGAGAAATACCAAATGATTTCACTCATCTGAGGAGTATAGGAACAAAGGAAAAACTGAAGGAACAAAACAGCAGCAGAATTACAGAACCCAAAAATGGACTAACAGGTACCAAAGGGAAAGGAACTGGGGAGGATGGGTGGGCAGGGAGGGATAAGGGGGGGGAAGAAGAAGGGGGGTATTAAGATTAGCATGCATGGGGGGGAGGGAGAAAGGGGAGGGTGGGCTGCACAACACAGAGAGGACAAGTAGTGACTCTACAACATTTTGCTAAGCTGATGGACAGTAACCGTAATGTGGTTGTTAGGGGGGACCTGATATAGGGGAGAGCATAGTAAACATAGTATTCTTCAGGTAAGTGTAGATTAAAAATTTAAAAAAAAAAAAGAAAGAAAGAAAGAAAAGGGGGATTACTCCTTAACAGGATAAAACTATTGGTAAATCAAAGATCAACGCATGCTTTAAATATCCTTAATGTTGATCACTTAAAGGGTGTCAGATGATCAGCTATGGAGGTACTCTTTTCTGATAATATTCCTTTCTCTTAATTAAAAAAAAAAAAAAAAAGCAGTTACTGTGTGCTGACCTCCAATGAGTTCTGCACAGTGGTATAGAGGGCATGTCAAAGTGTGGGCAAAGGGTCTGTTTGTTTCTACGCAGAAGATCAAGGCCTAGCTTGGATACCCAGAAAATGAACTAAGATACGATATGAGGAGGAGCTTCCGGCATCAGCACTCTCTGGAGGACTCGTGCCGGGGGATGATCATCAAAAAGCCTCCACAGGGATCCGGACGATGCTGCGGTTGTGGCTGCATCCAGCCCACCGTCTCCTGGACTTGCCATAAGAAGGAGGAGGGAGATGTCTAGGCTGGCATGTGCATACAGTGAGACAACGAATTTGACTGGATCTGTACTGTTGGAACTCAACCAGGAGTTGGGAGGGGTGCAAGTTGTAGCACCCCAAAATCTCATGACTATAGACTATCTATGGTTAAAAGAACATATGGGATGTGAACAGATCCCAGAAATGGGCTGCTTTAATTTGTCTGATGGTTCAAGTACAGTTGGAAAATATCCATCATATCATAGATAAATTTTCACAAATGCCTAGGGTGCCTAAATGGTTTTCTTGGCTTCACTGGAGATGGCTGGTAATTATAGATTTGCTTTGTTTATGTCACCGTATTCCTATTATGTTAATATGTGTGTGCAAATTAGTTAGTAGTTTAAAACCTATACATACTTAAGGTACTATACAAGAAGATATGTCAAAGAAATAATCAATCCTCCCAAGTTTCCTTCATATGCTACATCTATAGCTTTTCTTCTTCCTTCCTAATTACAACCCTTAAATAGAATTCGTGCCTCATATCGAATTTACCGAGTATCATAATTCCTCCAGGTGGTAAAGATACCTCGAGACAAGTGCTGGGCATAGAAGCCACAGGGCATAAATCTGCAAAGAAGTAAAAAGCTAACCTTTGCAAACAATATGGCTTCTCTCTCACTTACCAACTTTACATTTCCCTGTATGGCCCCGGAAGATGACTGGTTAGCCAGAGACGGGTAAGATTCCTCAAGGGAGGAACAACCTAAGACAGGCACAGTCGCAGGGGGGCCATCAGGTGAGAATTTGGGGATCAACAGAGGTGAGGCTCAGAACCTCACCCCCCCTGCTTTGAGAGAAATCTTCTGCATCCGTGGATGTCTTGCTGCCCTTGTCTAGCCTGGATTAATACTTAGTCCATAGGCACACACCTGATCATCTGATCATCTACATTTGCCCTCTTACAGCACTAAACTATGTTTTCTACCTTTATCTTGCATCTACCTACCACTTCAGCATTTTATTAAAAATAAAAATAATAATAATAATAGGAGAAATGTGGGATCAACATATAAATCAAGTACAAAAATCAAACGAATATTCATATTTGACCTGATTGTTTATAGGTCATAATGCGTGATCAAAACCGAAAGTTTCTGTGATGAATGCCCTTGTACTGTTCACCATGTAAGAATTTATTCACTATGTAAGAATTCGTTCACCATGTAAGAACTTGTTCGTTATGCTTCAGAAGATTGGAGACTGACGAGAATTAGGCTTGAGATGGATTAATGATTGTACATTGAGCGTTGACCCCCCTATACTGAATTTTATTGTTGTTAACAACCATTTGATCAATAAATATGAGAGATGCCCTCTCAAAAAAAAAAAAGTCTTTCAATAAGGCTTTATGTTTTTTTCCAGAAAGATCTTGCCCTCATTTGTTAATTTCTAAGTAGTTCATAAATGACATCTTTATTTAAATTTTTTTGTAAGCATGTAAAAGAAGTTGATTTTTCAATATGGACTTTTGCACCAAAAATCTTTTTAAATTCTTAATAAGCTAATAAATTATCCATGTATTATTTTGGATTTTCTACATATACAATAGTATCATCTACATCTGTTCTTCATTTCCAATCTTTAGTATTTCATGTGTTTTCCTTGCCTTGTTATGCTTGGTAGGATCTCCAGTATAATACTGAATATAAATGGTGACAGCAGCCATCCTTGCCAGGTTCCAAATGTCAAAGCTCTTAACATTTCACTTTTAAGTATGTAGTTTACTGTAAATCTTTATAGATACCTTTAAGAAAATTTATTCAACTAATTTGCTAAGATTTTTCAAATCATGAATAAATGTCACATTTTATCTAACCCTTTCTCTACATCTAGAGATGATTGTGGCTTTTCTCCTCTAATCTGTGAATGAAGCAAATTATGCTGATTGTTCAAATGTTAAACCACATTGTAGTTTGGAGATAAACCCAACTTGGTTGTATTATACTTTTTTAATATGTTAGGCTTAGGCAGTTCTATAGACTTGATGTTTGTGTTTGCTCAAAATTCGTATGGCGAAACATAATCCCCAAAGTGATGGTATTAGGAGGTGGGGCCTGTGGGAGATGATTAGGTCCTGAGAGTGGAGCCTTCACGAATGGGATTACTGCCCTTACGAAAGAGACCCCAGAAAGTCCCTTGCCCCTTCACTATGTGAAGACACAACCAGAAGATGGCCATATATGAATCAAGAAGCAGTCCTCACCAGACACCAAGTCTGCTGGCCCCTTGATCTTGAACTCCTGAGCCTCCATAACTGTGAGAAATAGTGTTTGTTGTTTATTAGCCACCTAGTCTACACTATGTTGTTACAGTAGCCTGAATGAACTAACAGGCAATTATGATTAGTTTAAAATATTTGCATCTATTTTGACATTGTTATGTAATATTCTTTTTTCACTGGTCAGGTTTTAGTATCAAGGTTATGTGAATTAGGAATGCTCCCTTTTCCTCTACACTCTTGAATTGCTTGTTCCTTGAGTATTTCATCAGCAAAGCCATCTGGGCTCAGAGGTTCTGTGTGGCAAGGCTTTTGGGTCCAGATTCTGTTACTTTAATGGTGATAGGACCACTCAAGTTTTCTTTTTTTGAGGCAGTTTTGTCAAGTTCTATGTCTGCAGTAATGTAACCATTTTATCTAATTTCTCAACCTAATTGGCATAGAGTTGCTTTTTTTGGACATTGAGCAAATTATCACAGGCACATGTCTGGACTTTGATATTTGATGAAGTCAGAATATACTCATGGAAAGACAGGTGAAATATAGGTGTGATGAATTCATTTTCACTAGCTATTTTCTCCTTCCAGACTTCTGCAGTGCTCTTCCTTCTGACTGGGCTGCCCTCTCTTCCCCTCATCACCTTGTAGGTTCCTTCTCATTTTTTAAAACTCAGTTCAGGCACCATATCCTCCAAAAAGACTCCCAGAGTCCCCATGCCAGGCCAAGCATCTATCCTGAGGCCCCAACAGCCTAAGAGACCCATCACTGTTAATGCAGTAACCACACTGCACTGGAGTCCTTTCCTGGTGTCTGCCTCCTCCGCTCAGCTGTGAGCTCCTTTTCCTGTGTCCTCAGAGCAGAGCAGAGCAGAGGTGGTCAGCCAACACTTGTGCAACTGACTGAGCTTGTAACCACTAAATGACCAAGTTCTCTAGCCACGTCTCAGTATTTCCCCACATACATTCGTTTGTGCCTTTATTTATTTCATTAAGTATTTATTGAGCACCTACTACATGCAAGGCACTGTTCTAGAAGAGTGGCCAAGAGGAAAAGAGGAAAACTGGGAGAATGTGGTGTCCTGGAAACCAAGTGAAGAAAGGATTCCAAGGTTGAGAGATGATCAACTGTGTCATGTGGCCAATAGATCAAGTAAGATGAGGTCTGAGACTTGGCCATTTATATAACAATGTGAATATCATCAGTGATTCAGCACTTTTGCTGAAGTAGATGGGCAAAAATCTAATTGGGGATGTTCAGAAAAACACTGGAGCCCTGGAAAAGAACTGAAGAAAGCTGGTATAAAGTTTTGCTGTGAAGAAAAGTAAACAAATATATGGGGTTTTATTTTGCTAGGCAGAGTTTTTTATTTGCATGCAGTAAATAGATCTATCCTTTCTTTCAAAACTTTTGAGTTTCCTGTTTTGAGTCAGAAATCTGATGCCTGTGGACAGCAACTCTAGTAAGAATTTTTCACAGCACATTAACTCTTCTGCCCTTTCTGAGGCATCCCCAAAGGACAGACAGGTCTCCCTGCTTATGTCAAAGGTTGGTTTTTTTTCTCAGTAACCTCAGAACTTTGTGGCTGATTCACAATCAATATCCGCACATCTACAGCTGACCACATCCACCACTGCAGCCACATGTATGACACCAAACCCTCATGTGGCCACCCCTTTTCCTCCCTCCATGGCAGAATGTAGAAAAGACCAAAGGACCTGTCCCCCAAAGACTGCCAGTCCTCATGGCTTAGGACCATAAGGTTGAGGTGACAGATATCCTCAAGGACATACTAAAGCAGCAAAAGCAGGCATGACCACGTCCCATGCCCCACTCGCCACTGTGGCCCTTCCACAGTATGTGACCATCCCTCACACACGTGCCCAAACAGTATACTGTACAGCAAGACTCATCATTTCTCATAGAGCTCTATTGTGGCATATAATAATAATAGGTACTCTATATAAATTAAATTAAAAATAAAGCTCCAGCAGGTTGCACAGATTGGCTGTTAATATCTCTGGGTAATTGTGCCCCAAGACCAGCTCATGACCACTCTCCCTCATCCAGAGAATTATACAAAAATAAATACAGGTTTAGGGGAAGGTGGAGAAGGGGAACATGCCTGGCTCCATTCTGAAAGTTCTTACACCATCTACCCTGTTTCTCCCCACTGATATCACCATAGGGAGCCCTAGGCTGATGGGAGACCTCAGGGATGGGGAGGCCTCTCTCCAGTTGAGCATTATCAGAAGCAAAGGATCCCTTACTGTACAGGCCACATACCCCATTGAAACACTCTGGGGATGGTACAGAGGACACTCTTCCCCAGACCTCAGAGAGGGGAAGGCCTGCTACTGCTGATCCCTCAAGCAGCCCCTAGGAGAACCAGGCCAGAGACAGGCACAGTGCAAGCACCAGGAGGGACATACCACTGTTCAGAGCCACGGGGACCACTATCAGCCCAGCCAGGACACCTAGAGTCTGGGTCAAGGGTCCCCAGAGCTGGGGAGGCAATATACACACACATTCTGCAGAAGCTGCTAGGGTGGGAGACCTCTTTGGGGGCTCAAGGTTTGAACCTGAACCCTCTTCATCCTGGGAGCTCACATGGGGCCTGGCAAGGCTGAAAGGACAGACTTCAGTCCCTGATGAACCAAGGAGGGTAAGATTTTTCCCCTGCAGGACTACAGCAGCTGTCTCCTTGCCAGACATAGGGACTAAGCTGTCTGCCCACTCAGTGGTAAACTCCTTCCGGGCTTCTATTCCCCTTGGGGACCCAGTCACCCCAGCTATTGCCCTATTCATGTCCAAAGAGTCCGTGTCATTGCCCATTCCCTTCCCTGGAGCCCCAGTGAACTGACCCTCTGTACCCAGAACCACAGGGCTGTCACATCCTGAGCCCTCTGCCCATGGAAGCCACACATCTCCCATAGTGGCTACCACAGAATAGGCACCAGAGAGGATTTGTGGAGGCGATTCCTTGAAGGTGTCCCCTTCTGGGCTGGAGGGTATAACGGAGAGCCCCTCTTCTCCCTCCCCCTCCTCATCAGGGTCCTCGGTGTCCTTGATGAGCTCCACACCACGCCCCAGCCGGGCATAGTGCAGTGTGATCTCCTCAGCCAGGGCACTGTTCAGGGCCCGTTCAGGGCCAGGCCATTTCAAGATCAGGTCACGGTCCGTGAGTATGCCCAGGGGATGACTGGGAGACACCCCCCCATCCATGAGGCCCTCCCCACCACCTCCTGTCCCACCTGTAGCCACAGAAGCCCGCAGGCGACTCAGGTGGGACAAGTAGAGCTGCTCCAGCTCCTGGTCAATAGTGTCTTCACCAAGCAGCTCCTCCAACCCACTCATGAACCCCAGGCCCCCGGAGGGCTCATCCATAACAGCTCCAACCACACAGCCCTTTCGGCCCCCTCCATTCTCGCTTGATACTTCCCACGTGGCCTCCACCTGTTGCTGGCTGGGTTCCAGGAGAGGCCTAGCTGCCCCCTCACTTGCATCAGGCCCTGAGGCCTGGTCTCTGGGGAAGCCACTGAGACCACAGAGAAAGGAGGAGGGAGCAATCCTGATGGCTGGTGCCTGGAGGACCTCTGTGAAAGCCACAGGTGGAGTGCTTCTGGGGATGTCACTTTCCTCTGGGCATTTCCTAGTCACGTTAACTTCAGAAACCTGGAGTGGGGGCAGGAGAAAAGAGAAAGGGAAGGAAATGAAATAGAGGAGGGGATGGGACAAGCAGAGATAGTGAGAACTGGTGACAGCCCACACCCAGCCACACAGGTGTTTCTAGATAAATACTCCTTAAAGAGCCCTCTATAATTCTCTGAACTCCAAAGATGATGTTGTGTATTAGGTGGGGTAAAAGGGAGTTTCCTGCAGATCATAAAGCTGAGGAATTCAGAGGGCACCAATATTTGGTGAGTGACTGTCCACAAATACTGTTGTTGAGCTCCAAAGCATATCTAGAATATCCATATGGATTCCTGTTATTTTCTGTTTTAAAAAAATTTCTTAGCTCTTTTTGGTAAGACCTGAAAACAATGACCAATCTAGTAACAACAAGCATACTTAGCACCCAGATCTTGGTTTCTAAATACCATTCTCCACTAAAAGGAACTAGAGCTCCTTAAATAAATGGGTATTGCCAGGTTTGGGGCGCGGGAAGCACAAGATGAGTCTGGGACATATTGTCATACCAGAATGTGAGGAAATGCTCAAATAATGATGGAGATGTGTCAAAAGGACTCTGGAACCAATTGAAATTAACACTCACTGGCCAGAGAGAGTTCAATTTAAACATCAAAATAAGTAAGTACAATGGATTGAAATTAATCAAATATGTTTAAAATTCATGAACTAATAATGATATAGCAAAACCAAAAAACCCTTTAATTGATCACTTCAGAAGTTCATTTCTTCCGAAAACTGGTAAATAAAAGGGAAAAAATTAAGTATTTATACAGCTTTTTCTATACAATCTATATACCCTCAAGGTAGCCAAACAGTTGATGTGAGGAAGCTTTTTTTTAGAGAAGAATTCCAGCTAATAAATTAAGTGGGAATAAAAGAATTAAATAGAATCAATTCTGTTTACATTAATTTAACAATAATAGATTATATCTAATTAATTTAATTGTTTAATGAATTAAACAATAGATTAAATTAACTGAATAGAATTAACAAATTAATAAAAAGAGAGTAAGAAATGTGTCTACATGGCTGCAATCAACCAGATCCAGACTGGGAAACTCTACAGGACAAACAAATTTTCTTTAACAAACAAATTGCTAGTGGGGGAGATTTAAAAATCTAAAAAGCCCCATTAAAAAAATGCAATGTGTTGACCTTGTTTGGATCCTAAAACACTCAAGAGATAAGGAAATTTGAAGACTGACCTAATATTTGATGATACTAACGAATTATTGTTAATTTTCTGAAGGGTAATTAGGATATTGTTCTGTTTTGTTTTGCTTTGCTTAATTTAAGATACAAACTGAAGTATTTATTGATGGGATAATGTCTGGATTTTTTCCAAAATAATTCCAAAGAGAATGAGATGGAGGTACAGAAAAAGTAGGAATGGACATATGTTGAAATTTGTTGAAGCTGGGTGATAGGCACATATGGGCACATTATACTAGTCTTTACTTTTTTATATGTTTGAAAATTTTTGCAATAAAAAATTAAAACACACACACACTCACATATGTGTCTAGAATCTCTGTCTCCCTGGCCAGCACTGGCCTGGCTCTTGCGGGCCTCTGCAGTAGCCTGCTCCTCACAGTCCCCCTGCTTCCGCCCTCACCCCTACAGTCTGTTTTCCTCACAGCAGCAAGAGGGAGCCTGTTGAATCCTGTCAGATCACGGTCTGCCTCTGCTCACTACTCACCCTGGCTCCCCTTGTCTCTCAGAGTAAAAGCCAGAGTCCTCTCCATGGCCCATGAGGCCCTACATAATCTGCCCCAGGTCACCTCTCTGGCCTTATCTCCTGCCACTCCCCCTCACTCACTGCTCCTCACTGTTCCTTACACACATTAGTCATGACCCCGCCTCAGGGACTCTGCCCTTGCCTGGGATGTTCTTTCCATTATCTACATGGTTCATTCTCTCACCTTCTTCAGATCTTTGCTCAAGTCTCACTTATTACTAAAGCTTTCCCTGGCCACCTGATCTAATGCTGCAACCATCTCCCCATATCTATCTATCTATCTATCTATCTATCTATCTATCTATCTATCTATCATCTCACACACACACACACACTTCCTAGACGTTTAGTTTTTCCTTAGCACTCATCTAAAATACCATATAATTTAATAACTACTATTTTTTTCTTATATCTCACTCCACTAAAATGTAAGTAAGCCCTGTGAAGATAGTGCTTTTGGTCACTACCATATTTCCAGCATCCATAACAGTGCTTGGCACAGAGCAAGCACTCACTAAACATTTGCTAACTTAACAAATGATATTTCTATATGCCCTGGTGAATAACTGTATTCTACCCCTCTGACATCAGATTCAGATTTTGGGGCCCTCTCTCCGACCTAGGGTGGACCCAGAGGAAGTCAGCCCCCACCACCCAGCCCCCCACCCAGCTGTCCATCCAGTGGCTGTAAGCATTTGCTTACCTGAAGTGTCATCTGGGGCCATGGACGGAGAGGGGTGGGGGCCACCAAGGGACCCACTGACTCCTGGACATCAGGACACTCTGCTTGAGAGAAGGGCAGCACTGGGGTTAGGCACATGTACAAACAACCATGATTTGGTTAAGAAAATCTGCTCTTCTAGCCAATTGGCAGTTTTGCCTCTGAAGCTCTCTGTGGCATTATGAAGCAGAGGGTGCTTCATAATTTGTATAGAAAAAAAAAGGAGAAAGAAAGAAATAGTAAATATAAGCTAAAACTCCTGCAGCCTGCCAATCGCTTACCCACAGAAGGAGTATTATCTTCCATGCTCTTCATCCTCAGCTCTTCCTCGTTAGGCCTGTGGGTTAGAGGAGAGAATATATGGATCTGATGCCTCGAGAGAGCAGTTCTGCTACCCACTGGCACCTTCGGAGCCTCTGGGGTGACCCACCTTCACCTGACAGCTGCTGTTTTCCCTTCTGCTGCCTCTTTCCTTCCTGATTAAAGTCCCACACATTCATTATAGAAAATTTACAGAATACAGGAAAGTATAAAGAAGCAGGGGAAAAGTCACACATTAGCCACAGACAACCATAATCACTGTTTTGGAAAACTTCATCCCAGACAGTCTATTAAATCCTTCAGATTCTACAGATAGAATTTCACAGCTGGCTTTGTCCATTTAACAGCAAGGAAGCATCATTATATACTTGTGTAAACATTTGAAATGGCTGCTTACTGCTCCTACCATACAGGTTTGGGCTCACCATCATGTATGGAGCTGTTCCTTTCCTACTGAGCAACTAGGTTGTTTCCCTTCATTTTCTCTTGCAAAACGGACTTCAGAAGACACTGTTGGCATAGCTTTATGAAAAGTTTGGATCTTTTCTTGAGGTATATTCCTGGCTGTGGAGGAACCCACCTTTTCCAAGAAAGGACAGGTAAGGACCATGGGGAACATGAAGCAACAAAGTGGAAGAAGGAGGCAACTGGAGAACAGGAAGGAGGTCAGCAGAAGATGGAAGTAACTCAGGGTCACAGAGGCCTGGGTCCCTCCGCCAACCCCCCAACCCATTGCCATACCCATCCGGCAGGCCACTTAATCTCCCCAGCCTCACCCTTCTCACCTTAAAATGGAGCACAGAGGAGTCAGGATGTACACACCAAGCACGAGGCACTCAACAGAAATGAGGACATCAAGCCAGACCCCAGGGTTGGCACAGAGCAGGGGCTGAACCAACCAGATATATTTATTGGTCCTGCTCCTCCTTAGCCAGGCAAGTCAGACCCCAAGGCCTATGTGGCATAAACCAAGTGTATCTCAGCCAGTCCCTGCCAGGGGTGGGGTCACAGGGATTAGGGAGAAATCACTGTTCTCATTCTCACAAATGAGTATCAAATGTTTATAGATCAAGGCAAATGAGGACAGCATTAACTAAAACATGTGCAGACATGAAAAGATGCTCCACATCACTAATCATAAGATAAATGCAAATTAACACCACACTGAGATATCACCTCACACCAGTTAGGATGGCCACCATCCAAAAGACAAACAATAACAAATGCTGGTGAGGATATGGAGAAAGGGGAACCCTCCTACACTGTTGGTGGGAATGTACATTTGTTCAACCATTGTGGAAAGCAGTATGGAGGTTCCTCAAAAAACTAAAAACAGAAATACCTTTGACCCGGGAATTCTACTGCTAGGAATTTACCCAAATAATATAATTTCTCAAATTCAGAAAGACAGATGCACTCCTATGTTTATTGCAGCACTATTTACAATAGCCAAGAAATGGAAGCAACCTTAGTGTCCATCAGTAGATGAATGGATAAAGAAGATGTGGTACATACACACAATGGAATATTATTCAGCCATAAGAAGAAAACAAATCCTACTATTTGCAACAACATGGATGGAGCTAGAGGATATTATGTTCAGTGAAATAAGCCAGGCGGAGAAAGATAAGTACCAAATGATTTCACTCATCTGTGGTGTGGAGTAAAAGAACAAAGCAAACACTGAAAGAACAGAACAGCAGCAGACTCACAGAACCCAAGAATGGACTACCAGTTACCAAAGGGAAAGGGACTGGAGAGGAGGGTGGGAAGGGAGGAATAAGGGGAATAAGGGGCATTATAATTAGCACATATAATATAGGGAGTGGCACGGGGAAGGCAGTATAGCACTGAGAAAACAAGTAGTGACTCTATAGCATCTTACTATGCTGATAGACAGTGACTATAATGGGGTATGTGGTGGGGACTTGACAATGGGGGAAATCTAGTAACCACAATGTTGCTTATGTAATTGTATATTAATGATACCAAAATTTTAAAAAGTAAAAATAAATAAAAATTAAAAAATAAAACATGTGCAGAGACCTGAGAAGAACTGAGGCAATTGCTCATAACTTTTTCTTCCTAAGAGGTAATGTGATGATGTTGAAATTTCTGGAAGTGGTTGCAACTTTTTGAAAACACATAATCAAGTACCATCACAGAAACAGAGTATCACTATTCTGAATATCAATAAACAGAACAAAATGAACATCACAGATTAGAATATACCATTTATGGTGTTAGGCATAGTTCTAAGTCCTTTGCATATATTAATTTAATCCTCCAAGTGTCCTATGAGATAGGTACTTTTAATCCTCTCAAGTAGGTGGTATTATTATCCTTATTTTACAGATGATGACACGGAAGCCAAGTAAATGGCTCATGGTCATGTAGCAAGGATCGAAAACTAAGCCTTCCACCTCTTAAGTCTGTGCTCTCAACCAACAAACTGTGATTATTGGACAAGGGAGACTGAGGTCTTGCCCCAAACCCACCTCCAATCCTTTCCAGAAGTAGATAGAGGGAGGCAGCAACAATAGGCAAGGTCTCTCCCTCTTCCTTCATTCAGGCTTTATAGACCTGCCTTTTGCCCACATATTCAGTCCGTTTCCCTGCCTTCATGGGACATGTGGCTAGGAGACCACCAGACACAAGTGGTTACAAGAACTACTTTTTATTACCACCCTTGGAGGGACAAGCTTGAACTATGTACATGGATCCAGAGTCTAGAAGCTCTGGAAGGGACTGTCTGTCTTTCTCCATGGACTAGGGCTCATATGTCCCACCAGGGGTATTTGATCAGAATACTACAGGGCCTGGAGAGGGTGACTCTGAGAGTCCCAGTATTAATTCCTGTATATCACAAATAAGAAAGGGGGTTATAGAGCAAACCAGCTTGGGTCCTACACACCAGCCCCCTCAGTGTGTCTAAAATCCAGGTCTTTGGGTTTGTGGCCCAACAGGATTTCTGCTGACTCCTTTTGTTGATGTAGTCCTTCATTAAAGAAAATGTCATCTTCCTAGATCTTTATTCTAAAGCAAGCCTCTTCAAGAAGACCCACAGAAAGACAGAAAGGCAGCCTTCCCTCCTAGGGCAGGACTAGGCAAGCCATCTCTGCCATCTGCCTCAGTGCTGATATGCACAATAACTGGGCTTCTAAAAGCTACTCCAGAGTCCTAGCTGTATGTGAGAGAGAAGAGGAGGAAACCTCAGGATGCAGACAGCCAGCAGGAAAAGAACTCCACAGTTCAGCCAAAGAAGAGCACAAACACAAAACCAATCCCTCAACCCTCAGAGCAGCTCTTCCATAGCCATGTAGGGTGAGAAGAGGGGAAACATCCAAAAATCAGGACAAGCAATTCAGCTTATCCCAAGAGCCACAAAGTCAGAAGTGCACACATCATGCTCCCTACTTCCAAAGGCAGAGAGATGAAAGCAGAAGGTACAAGCATTTATTGTTCACCTCCTCCAACATGGGCCCTTTTCACTGATACACCAAGCCATTTGAAAACCTTCACATTTATGCTTCAAAGGAACTGTATCTCTAACCCGCTAACTACACACCACACTGATAACATCCAAGGAGCGCTCCATTTTGAAGACAGGGTTTGAAACTGTGGGCTTAAAAAAGAACCCTTAATATCCTTGAACTGTCTTTTCACAGTATACATTTGGGGGCAGCTATGACTTCAGTCAAAAGGAGAATAGTGAGATAAATGGAGTACAAATGTGTACTGACTCACTGATCAGTAACAGAGAAGAGGGGTTCTTAGAAAAACAGAGAGTGAGGAGATTAAGAACAAAACTGTACCTCCAGTGTGCTTGCTAATTTTCGAGAAGGAAACTGCTCTTTTGGCACTAGTCCCACAAATGCCACATGGCACCTCCTCAAGGGCAGTGGGCAGCAGCAGGCCAGAGTACATAAACCTGGGGACCTCAGCCACATGACGTCTCGGTGTTTGTACTAGTCAGCACGGAGTAGCCCAGAAGGAGCCATGTCAGACCTGCACACCAGTCTCCTGGGTGTGAAGATTCTTCCTGCTGTCAGGAAACTCAAAGGCCTCTGACCTCAGATGGCACCCAGAGAGACTGGAGGGTGAGATTTCAGAGAGGTGCCATTGGCCCCAGCCGAGGCCAGCCGAGACAGAACAAGTGAATTGCCACAGTGAACGAGCAAGTGAGGGCTGACAACCCCCACAGAGAAAAAGCAAAGCAGACTTTCCAGAGCAGTCATCACTGCCACTGCCATCCCAGGCCTCTGTGAGCAGCCCCACCACTCAGGTTTTCAAAGAACTTGGCCAGCTCAAAGTGGGTCACATGCTAGAACCCAAAGGGAAACTCAGCAGACCCCAGCTCCCATGCAGTCAACCTGAAGATAATGCTGACTCTCCAGGAGGACAGGTGGCTTCAGAAACCTGCCCCACAATACTTGGAATCCTGGTTACCCCGAGCCATCTGCTTTCTGAAAAGAATGGGGTTTGAAGGTGGCTGTGAAAGCCACCAAGTTATGTGGGGCATTGCTCTGCCTTCCCCAACGAGTCTGTGTCAATAGCAACTCTGAGACTTAGACCATCGAGCAGGGTGGAGGGAGAGCAGTTTACCACACTGAACTTGTTTTACAGCAGTGTCTTCATTCATTTGGCCATGACCCATCGTAAGAAATACATTTCCTATCATAACACAGCACACCCATACATGTGTAAACATATATACTTATATGTAACATGAGAAACGGTTGTTCTTTGCCTGAAACACTTACCTTCACTACTTGCTGTGATATACTCTTATTTCTTATGCTATTTCTTGTTTTAATGTTTGTTGGAATCCAGTAAATTGATTTCACGTCAATAAAGGGTCATGACACGTCATCTTGAATAATCCCAGCTCTGCCACCTACCAGCTGTGTGAATGGGAGCAAGTTACTCACCCTCTCTATGCCTCGGTCTCCTCATCTGTAAAGGGTATAACAGTAATACCTCAGACAGCTGCTGGGTAGATTGAGGAAATATGGA